CTTTTGAGGTGTTAACTCATCTTTAATGAAATCTTCTTTGTTAGGTGAAAAGGTAAAAGCTTATAAAATCAGAAAGTCTGGAAGATACTATTTGATGAATAGGGCAGGAAAGGAGAGTGATTGCTAGAGACAAGCACGTGGCCTGGGCTGCCCTCTCTTCCCTGCACTGGCCCTGCAGTGAGTGGGCAGCTCGCCCAGCCTGGCTGCAAGCAGACAGTGGGCACAGTCATGTCACAGTGCTGAAGTCTCCTCCCAGCATTTTCCAACAGAGATTTCCCACTCTGCCTCTCCCCTTTACCCTGGTCCAACATTAGTCCTGCGGTTACACCATGGGGCTTTAGTCTCAGAATTTCTTTTTACTCCAACTGTCCTGCAACTCGATGATGTAGCAAACACCCAATGGGAAAAGGAGCAAAAGAACAAACAGGCAACTAAATCAGAATTTAAGCTCGGGATGCTACAGACTGGTGTTCTATGGGGTTTGGGTGTCAAACTAAAAAGCTTGGAAAAGTTCCTGGGTGCATTTTACCTGGCGCCTGTCCAGGGCGATGGCCGTCAGGGTCAGCGTGGAGACGTGGAGGGAGCAGTACTGCACAAAGCGGCTGATGTGGCACATGGCCTTTCCAAAAATCCACGTGCTGTTCACAAACCGAACCTGAGGGAAAAATAGCAGGTCATCAGCCAGCAAATGGACTGAAAACAAATCCATGGAGAAGCCTTTTGGATTGCACCTGAGCTGGCACACGGGTTTGGGCTGGCTGGCTGGGCAGCTCCACCTGAAACCCAAAGAAAGAATAGCTACATTGGATTTTGAAACATCTTTACTTAAGAGTTTCTAAGGTCAAAACCCACAGATTAAACAAGTGGCGCTGTCCCAGCCCTCCTGGCCTGTTCATGTGAACACCACTTGTGAACAGGGGTAGTAACCTTTTGATTATACTAACAACTATATTTAACAAAGTTTTGGTCACACAAACCCCCCTTCAAGTCTGGAGATCTTTCCCTGAAGACTTTACCCAACTGGCAGCTCTGAAGAGCTTGACTGCTTTCTTCCAGTCACCTGAGTATGACTGACATTCAAATTGTTTGATCCACTAAGTTTTAAGTGTGACTCTCTAGTGCTCTCCTGCGTGTACATTAAAAATACATGTTCATCCAGGCACTAATTCTGCATTCCCCAAGACGCTCTTGCTGTGGTTTGGTGGCATACTTGGAGAGACTTTAGAGTCTTTTAGGAGACGCAGAGTCTAACAGAGCAAAGGCAGCCCACAGGTGGCTGAACAGGGTTTTACTTGCCTGGCAGAGTTGTCTATTAGACTTGATTGTGTTGGGTTCATGCCTCAGTCCTAGAAGAGCATGCACAGAGAGGGTGTGACCACCAGGCAGAGCATTCTTGGGAGAGACTCCCCTCCTGGCTGAAGGGACAGCACAGTGGGCCACTTACCAGGGTAAAAGGCGTGTTGAGCAGCGTGATCATAATGTCAGACACTGCCAGGTTGACGATGAAAAGGCTGGTGGCTGAGTGCATCCTCTTGTTCTTCAGCACCACGTGGCACACCAGCATGTTCCCAAAGAGAGACATGATGATAATGACTGAGTACGCCACGATGAGGAGAGCTTTCACTGTTGGTTTCTGGGATTCCGGCTCATATTTAGCCAGCTCAGCAAATTTCTCCCACTCAACAATGCGGCTGTCTGTCCAGTTGAAGGTTGTCCTGTTGGTTGCTTGGTAGATTGACATGAGTTTGGCCAAGGAAGAGTAATGGTCAAACTCCTCAAGAAACCCCACCATCTGTGACCTGTATGACTGAAGGAGCAAGCAACGCATGGTGGGTTAACCCAAGTCTTCCCTCAGCTTGAGGCCACTGGGATCACAGCTCCAGCTGACATAGCAAGTGATCCATCAGCTTCAGCTGCTTGGGTCCCTAAAAGCTGGTGAAGATGCAGCTGCTATTGTAAACACTCCCTTAAAACAGAAAGCTGGAGGGTGACTCTAAGGTGCAATGGGTTCCCCAGGGGCAGAGATGGCACTGGGGAGCAGTTCCAACAGGCACGTTGGAAAGGGACTGGTTTGGGACCACACACTCTCAAATCCTTAATATATCAAGAACAATACCTCCACAGGTGGGCTGGAAAGGAGAACTAGTTACTACATGTAGCAAAGGCAGGAAAACCTCAGGTGGGGTTTGAAGTTGGTTTAATCCCACGTCAGCTTTTGCTTCTTTGTTCTCACCTGAGTTCCTTTCTCCTCCAAGTTCCACAGGAGGCTGCGCTGTTGGTGCTTTCATCCTCTACTTCAAAACACCCAGGTCTTTCCTGTTGAAATATAATGGGGGATCGTTTTCAAGAGCGGAGGTAGCTTTTGTCTGCATCTAACCCCAGCAATTATCCTAAAGCTATTCAAAACCTGGAGATGACATCAGAAGTTGACTTTACTCTATCTCATATTTTCTGCTCCAAACAATAACCGAACTCTGCTTCCAGTGTTTCAGTT